TAAAATGCTTATAATATGACAACAACATGTGGCGGGAAATTAAATTTATCAGATATGTACATTATACAATCTTAATTAACACTGCAATGTATATTAGATGCCTAATATACAAATCCAGCATTGACCAGTATTTAAGGAAGGACAAGGGAGACATTTTTCCCGTTTGATAAATTTAGATTTTAGGTGGGGCCCCACGCAATAGGGTGTAATATTATTATATAAATACAATTTTTTTTAAAACTTGTTTGAGTACCTACTTGGACTTTTTCATGGTTATGATAAGTCGACATGGCGTAATTTACTCATTTTATCAATCAATGATAACTATTCATTTTTGTAATTATTTTTTTACTGTTTGCAATTGTTATACATTTTGACACTGCTGTAATCGTGTAACATGATATGTACGAATGTGTTGACTCAGTCAAGTGTCGAGTAGTACGCGTATGTGAACCGTCCGTTTAACATTGTGGCCTACTTGCCCAAAAGGGCTGAGTGAGCACATTCTGAAAGGCTCGGGACAGGCCATGGGCTCAGCCCCGCCAGCTAAAGGAGTCTGGTCAAGATAGTGAGCAACATCCTCGTTACTCAGCAGAGCATCCTTTATAGTTTATAACAGAACCTCATATAGTTTTAATCAGAACCTCTCTTAATAATTTTATTTTATTTTATTTATTTTATTTATTTAACGCCAAACGGCAATTTATAGATACATTGTACAATAAGTAGATTAACATGAAGTTATCATAATGAAATAAAATAATAGTGTTTATATATAATATATAGATATATATTAATTCTTCAATGTTTAATTTAATAAATTAATAATAGTATCAATAGTATTATCATTTTATAAATTAATTCTTTATTGTCTTATACAATAAATTGGTTATCTTAATTATACGCAACCAGTGTGTTATTTTATTTGATACCAACACCTACATTTTTGGCTGAGACACGATTGAGCATAAAACACCTTTTTTATGACACAATTGAGCCAAATTGTCGGCGTATCGAAGGAAATCAGAATACAAAAGAAAACCTACACGATTGAGCATAAAAAACTCTGCAAAAAACAATATAAACAAATTATTTCCATTTTAATTAATAGTAATAATAGTTATGAAAATAATAAAATCAAAATATGGTACGAATTAAAAAAAATACTGCATGGTTTATAACTTTATAAGTCAAGAATACTATAGAGTATGGGTGATCAAACACTGATATTATTTAAATGATAACTTTGGAATTGTATCTTAATTTATTATCTTATGTTTTCCTCTAATTTTAAATTTTTAAAACTTCGGAACTTTATTGCTCCGGAACTAGTTTATTAACCGATAACATTATCGATAAAGCTGCAAGGCTCATGACTCGCGTCTGGTATCTTAACAATTATTGGTGCAATAATATGTGAAAATAAAAAATGACAAAATTTCAGTCACGTAAATGTGACAACATCGCATAAAATATTCTATGCTCAATCGTGTTGCTAAAAAGGTATATGATCAATCGTTTTATGCTCAATCGTGCTTTACCGACATTTTTGTGTCATGGAAACGCTCCACAAGCGTGATCACGGGTGGGTGAAAGGGGCGGGGTTCATCTTCGCGAATGTTCGACACCCAACGCGACGTACAGCGGAGCAAAAGCGCAGTTGCACAAACAACAAACATGATTGCATAAAACTAAGTAAAATAATGTTTCATCGTTATCAGTGTTTTTAACAACATTTTAACAACATTATAATAAATAAAGAATCATAACTAAAGAATTAAAAACAGGTTAATTTTTTGGTAGTGGGACGTACAGATATCGACGACCCTGGGCGCAAAAGTGTAAATAAGGCCATTGACGTATTATGTACCTATATAAAGTAAAATATTTAAATGGATGGGTTGTGGATGTCTTTATAGAGACTAAGGTATTATAGTCTACATTCAAGATTCACCACATTTGAGCCTCTTTGAAAATCCAATTAAAGCATATTATATCATATATCAAATAGTAGATCAAATTTAACCCCTTTATAACACCTATACATAGACATGAATTAAATGTTGTAAGTAGACCAAAGTCCAAAATATAAAGTGACTCTTCTTAAAAATCTAAAAAAATACTCCATATTATGTAAGTATAGTACCTATTATATTATTTAGTTATATATTGGACAAAAAAAATACGGTGCATCCGAATTGCATGCCAAAAAAATAAATATAAATCGGGTCTTCCGAATTGCATGCCACCTCTTAGAGGGGTATATCCGAATAAATAACTTTTTTTTCAACTGAAGGATCGGGATTTTGTTACATTACAATAAAACATATAAATATTGTAGAAGGTGACACTGTGTATAAGAATCATAAAATAAAACTGTTTTTTTTTCATCGACAACAAAGGCCATTAGTTAAATAAAACTATTGTAGTTTAGGGTAATCAAGTGAGTGTATTTTAAATAATATTATTTTTAAATTTGGTGGTTTTTTTTGAAATTAGGAAAGTCCAAAAAAAGTTTAAGTTGTTTAAGTGCATAGTAAATAAACGTGTGGTGTACGACATGCAATCCGGACAAAGCCCTCTAAGAGATAGCATGCAATTCGGACAGACCCCTCCAAGAGATGGCATGCAATTCGGACAGACCCCTCCAAGAGATGGCCCGCAATTCGGACAAACCCCTACAAGAGACGGCATGCAATTTGGACATTATTTTTTTTTGCATGCAATTAGTATGCAGCCAAAAAATATTAAAACATATATTACACATATGTTATCCTATATAAACTACCTACTGAAGCCGTCCCTTGTTATAACTATTATTCGTTATTACCTAGATATTATTTAAGATTTTAGATTCTGAGCGGAGCGATCATCATCGTATTTAAAATGATGTGTGTTTTTATTCCGTCTGTCATTACATTTGGGGTCGTAGAAATGCTAACATTTTTGACATCAGCATTAGTTGGTACTTTTAAGAGTTCAAAATTTAAAATAAATTCAGTAGTTTAAGAAAATTTTCGATAAACATACAAAAAATGTTAATTTTTACTCAAAAATTAAGAGTTGAAAAAAATGTATATTATTTTTCTGGTGTAACTCAAAAACTAATAACTGTAGACACTTGAATTATTCGAGCTATTTGTAGTCATGAGATATTTTTCAAGTTTTGTAAAATATTTTTCAGTTGAATAATCCATAAAAGTTTTTATTTTCATTTCTAACATTTTTTTTTTTAAGCATTGAGCAGGTCTCTTAGCCATTTTCTATTTAACCTTCTAGGAATGAATGTCCTAGTGGATAGATTTTTAATTAGTGCATTTGAATGAGCTCGGAGTTTTGTGTTTAATTTTATGTAATGAGATTTGGCTAAGTCGTTGATGGTTGGAATATTAAGGTCTTTGTGGAGGTTTTTTGTCGTTTACATACCAAGGGGCAGAGATTATTAAGCGTATGGATTGGAATGCTTGCATGGTTTTAGTGTTTGATATCTAACATAAAGACATTTTAATAGAAGATTCCCTACAAAATGCTTTACCTTTTACAATGAAAAATACTTTACTGAAAAGTTAAGGTATTTATATCCATAAGAAATATTTTCAATTTTTATTAATTTTTTTTTAATTATTAAATTTTGTTTTAATACAAGGATTCATATTAGCCCACAACGTATCCACTCAGAACCATTTTTCGTATGCAATGATTTATCTTTGAAATTAAATATAACACATCCATTACATTCACATGTTCGGCAACTACTGTATTGCAATAGCAGAGATTTGAAGAAAAATTTTATTAATTGTAACGTTAATATACTATACTTGCTTTTATTTATATGTACTATTTCATCTGTTATGAAAATAATATTATATAATTAATTTATATTGATATTAACACAATTAATCAAAATATATATTTCAATGTATATTAATAATTATTAATGAATAACAATTTAAACAATACAAATGTATAGATATATTAGTACTTATACAATAATGTTTGTTCGATTTAATATTATTGTTTAACTCATAAAAAATGACTACCTATATTATATTGAATTTGAATATTAAATAGTCAAGTTCAATAAATTTAATTTTAATGTTTGGCATTTTATAATATGATAGGATATATAAAAATTGTATTGGGCATTTCTTTACATAAATACATAAATGAATATTCAGTCCGTCTGTCTATCTGTGTGTCATTTCACCTTTGGTTTCCATGAGTTTTGAAGCTATTACAATAATAATTATTGGTTGCCGGGCAACGAAAAGCACGGGATCAGTTAGTTTATAATGCAATTTAAATTCAAATTTAATTTAGTATTTTATTGTAATTTTCTATCAAGTTTTCCTATAAATTTAAAATGTTCAACTATAATTTAACACCAAAATGTAGTGCCTGTGCATGTGTGTGTGTTGGTCAGAATTCAGGATTTCTAGATGAATACTGATAATCTAGATGACTCAGTGGTAGATCAAGTGCTTAATTTTTTTTTTAGGGGAGGGGTTAAATTACAAAGCAATTTACAACATGTACACAATATCTCGAAATATTTATATTTTATAATTTACACAACCAATTCTAAACAACGCTTATTTTTATTGGAAAAACTGTCAATATGACTGTTTGTATTAATTTATTTGCATTTAGTTGTACATGTAATAAACAAATACTTGTGAGTAGTAGAAAATATAGGTATAATAAATTTAGGTACAGAACAATAAGCTTAGGTATTCTACGACTCGTGGCATTTAACTCGTGCCTTAAGCAAGGAGTTTTTCCATCAAAATGGAAAGTGTCCAAGCTGGTGCTAATGACAAAGGGGGACAAGCCCCTGGAGAATCCATCTTCTTATAGGTCAATATGTCTGCTCAATACGGTGGGAAAATTGTTTGAGAGGCTCCTAAAAAGGCGCATGGAGAAGCACCTTGTAGAAAACGACGACTTTAACGAGCGGAAATTCGGCTTTAGGAAGGGTCGATCCACAAGTGAGAAAAGTCATGGATGTTGTCGAAGCAGCCGGATCGGGCCTTCACAGACGCAGACAGCTCTGCGTGGTAGTGGCTCTCGATGTAGCCAATGCATTCAATACGGCAAAATGGAAGAAAATTGAGCAGTCGCTGCACGATAAGCGTATGCCCAAATACCTCATAGCAGCGATACAGAGCTATCTCAGCGACCGAGAGATTGAGTACGAGGGTAGATCACGGATCACTACCTGCGGGGTTCCACAAGGATCCGTGCTCGGACCACTGCTGTGGAACGTAATGTATGATGACTTACTCCGAGTGGACACCGGAGGGAACGTGAGGGGCATATCGTCGACAAACATGGTGGCCTTCGCAGACGACGTGGCGGTGGTGGCGACGGGGCACACTACGAGCATCCTAGAAGACGTGACAAACAATGCACTGGAGAAGGTAGCGGAATGGATGACAAAAGCAGGTCTAACGCTTTCAGTTACCAAGACAGAAGCAGTCATGCTCACCACTAAGAGGGGCTACTTGAAACCGTACCTAGAGATAAGAGGAGAACGCGTGGAGATAAAGAACCAGATAAAATACCTGTGTCTGGAACTCCATAGAGTGTTAGGGTTCAAAGCCCATCTGGAGGCGGCGGCGGGGAAGGCACAGACCACGGCCCTAGCGTTGTCAAGGTTGATGCCGAACCTGGGCGGCGCCGGGCCGAAGAAGGGGAGGTTACTAACCACAGTGGTAGAGAGCAAGCTGCTGTATGGTTCGCCTATATGGGCTAGCGCTCTAGTCCACCAGAGAAACGTAGACATCATCTTGAGGCCTCAAAGAGTTCTGGCACTAAGAACTGCAATGTGCTATAGGATGGTCTCGACGGCAGCCGCGATGGCCATAGCGTCTCCTAGCGTCAGAGAGGTCGGAAAGGTATATCCGCAGAGAAGAGTGGGACAAGGCTGGAGTAGCCAAAGAAGTACGGGAGGCGACCATGAAGAAATGGCAGAAGGAATGGGACGCGGCGGAAAAAGGCCGATGGACTAGAAGAATAATAGTGGACCTAAATGCCTGGACAGAACGGAAGCACGGGACAGTAGACTTCCATCTGTCACAGTTTCTGTCTGGCCACGGCTGTTTTAGGTACTATCTTCACCGATTTAAAAAAAGCTGATGAACAGTTCTGCCTTGATTGTGGAGAACCTGTAAACGATGCGGAGCACGTCATGTTCTGGTGCGGTAGGTGGTGGAGAGAGCGGCGAGCCCTGGAAGTGGTGCTGAACGAGGACCTACAGCCGGAGACGTTAATCGGTTGCATGTTATGAGACAAGGCCAAGTGGGACGCGGTAAAGGAGTTTTCGAGGACCATCCAATCGACAAGGGAAGCCGAAGAACGCAGTAGACAGGCCATAGGGTGAGTTAGAACTCCAAACTAGTTAAGTTATATATATATTGCGTGCTGAAAGCAAAAATTAGAGGGATAGAGCCCTCTACTTATGTAAACCTTTGATATTTGTAGTAAGATGTTGTTGTTTTTGTATTGTCATTAATAATAATATATGATACGGATACAGAAGGGAAGGACGACCCGACACGTGTGAAGTGCCCCTACTGTAGCGCCGTGATACCACAAAAAAAAAAAAAAAAAGGTATTCTACGACAAACCAAGCCTTTGCCTAACTGAATAAATAATTGTAAATCGGTTTTTAAAAGAAGAAAAATTCCCACAAAAATGTTGTGCCCCCATCCCTAAATAAAACACTATTAGATGGAACTTGATTATGTTCATAATATAGGTATTGTACATATTTATACAATACAATTTATATATTTATAAGTATGCTCATAATTTAGATAAGTTTATATGAGCTATAATTTTTATGTTATAAAAACAGTTAAGGTTGCTACTTGCTTTGTAATGAATTCAGTGGGTATAATAATAAATTATTAGTTAGTAGGTAAGGCTGTAGGTACTAAAACAAAATAACAAAGCTAATCTATTAATATTTACAACTATGTTTGACCCAACAGGTGTTTTTCATGTGTTTTTTCATAATACATATAGTATTGTGTTGCTATTATTTTGACTACTACATTTTGTATTGTATGAGTAAATGTAAATTATATATTTAAATCTAATACTTAAAAGCTATCAGAGAATATAATAATAGGAATTCTCTTAGTAGAAGTATAGAACATTCAAATTTAAAATGCTTATATATATTATAATTTGATGACCATATTATGTGGGGCAAAACTATAATAATGTATGAGATACATGGTTACCTAACATCTTATAAGATATGTCTAACTGTCTAAGGGCCAGGTTAGGTATACGGTTTAACTCCGATTAAGCTTAATCAGCTGATAACAGATATTTAATGGGGCGAATTTGGCAGGTTAAACTCATAATTAAACTTTAATCAGAGAAGGTATAACCGGAATTTAGCCATCTCTCCTGGTTATAACTATTTTAATTTTATTAAGTTATATAAAATTTTTAATTTGAATAAAAATGGAATTCGTAACATTAATATTTAATAAAAGTATACTTACTGTCATCTGTACTTGATATTATTTTTCCTTTCAAAAATAAATTTAATAAATTTAATATTAACATTACTACAATGAATTGCTATTATAATAGTGACTAATGAATAATAATTTAATAAATAAAAATGTATAATTATTGTAGTATAACAGTGGGTCTAACCAATAACCGGTGTTCCGTGGACTTAAAATAAATGTTCATCCAACATTTTAAAATTGGTGGAAAAATATTATAAAATTGTGAAATTTCTTTTATTGATTTTATTATTATTTACTGACTAATTTTTAATTTGTATGTAAACTATTTTGAGCTATGTTTGTTTTGTTTAATATATTATAAAAATTGACATATATAAATACTATTTTATTTTACGGTGTTCCGTGAAAATCTTATAAAATATTAAGTGTTCCGTGATAAAAAAAATGTTAAAAAACCACTGTCATATAGTCTAGCCTGGGCAATTTAATGATAATATTTAACTGAGTTAAGTTAATAGAGAACATTTTAAAAAGTTTAAAGTTAACAGTTTAAAATAAAATAATATCATATTATTTATTAGTTACTAGTATTTATTAATTATTATTATTACTATATTATGCCCGTATGCCAAATTATGGTATGGTATATCTTTATATTATATACGATACACCTAGGTATATGTTACAATATAATTCTATATGTATTTAATTGAGTTATTTTTCTTGAAGAATTCTTATCAATGGAACAAGAAATTAATTTTACTATATTTGTAATCCCCTATTCTAGTAAATGGTTATGTAATATCAATAATAATTGTTATTTTTATTATATTTACTATTAAATTATTTATAAATTAACTTAAATTAAATTGATTAAAAGTAACTTGTTATTTATTAAGTTTATATCAATTAAAATAAGTTAAGTTAAAAATTAATGATATGAAAATTTAAGTTATTTGTTCGAATAGTAATGTAATCGAAAAATTATTTGTTCGAAAAATATATGTTCGAAAAGTTGTATGTACGAAATAGTATTATTTTATTTTTAAATGTAAATTTTTACATTTTTACCGACTAATATCGTTGAATAAAAGTAACAAAGATAGTAGATAGTAGATTACATACAATATAGCTTATTAGTAATGACTATTGTGGTGTAGTCTAGTATACAACATAAAGCGATTGTAGTCTGTAGGTACTGAAGCTTAGTTTGTTGCGAATTTAATGCGTTTTATGTAATTCGTCTTTTTATTTGAATAAAATGTGTTCTATAGAAGTTATGAAAAGTATACATGGAGGTAAAGTATTAAGTGTAAATAATTTTTTATACATATTAAATAAAAATTATAAAAGAAAACGCGATGATCGAAACGTTTTTTACTTGACATGTTTAACTTAATGTGGAGCAAAAATGTGTACTGTTGAAACATCGAACGGAGAACACGAAATCTTGCCCAAGTATTTTTCTACAGCTTTATTGTATACATGCATCTATTAAACGTGGTAGTGCAGAAATATACGTTCCATTAGGGTATTGTCTTCTAGTCAGAAATAGTCAATCAATAAACAGTGAAATGTTTGGAATAATTAATCAATATTGCAATGAAAATGACATTAATATAACAAACAACTCGGATCTTGAAATTATTACAGATTTTGAAATAGCTTCAACAAACACAATAAATGAAGTTTATCCGTTTGCCATGCACTCAACATGTTTCTTTCATTTCTGTCAAAATATTTCTAGAAAAATAAAAAATGTTGGTTTATCTACTCAAAAGATGCACATTTTAATCTTTTAGCTGACGCATCCCCGCAATGTCATTTTTACTGATTGACATGGAACGGCATTAGTCATAAGATAATTAAAATTAATATTTTAATTATGTTATTTTTATAATTATTTTGATTTTAGATTCAAGAAGCATGGTCTCTTTTAAAACCTTTGTTCAATAATAATAATGAAGAAAAAAGTTTAAAAACATATTTTGAAGAAACGTACGTACTTGGAAAAATCGGTATGACAACAAGGGGTAGGCCTAACATTACCTAACCTAACCTAACAATGCGCCTTCAAGAAATGATTCGTTATTTTCAAAAGATATTTGGTCAGTTTCCATTCTTGTTAGGTTAGAGCTTCCGAGAACAACTAATACAGCTGAATCGTGGCATAGAAAGTTAAATCGACTTACATCTCCTCATCCAGGTAAAAATTATATTTTTATATTTTTTTTTTATAAATATTTTATTTCATATATTTTATTCAGGGCTTTAAAGTGTATTACAATCATGTGAAAAATTCAATCTGAAACAGAATCACAGATTGAAATGTTAATCAAATAATGATGTTTATCGAATTTATGTTTATTAATTTTTATAATATTAGATAGCTTTTTAATTTAAATAAATAATTTTCGTACATACAACTTTTCAAATATATATTTTTCGAACAAATAACTTTTCTAATACTCGTCATTCGAAAACATGACCTTCGAAGACATGACCCGCTCAACACAATTTATTGTAACGGAATTTTCTCTAAAAGGACGTTTTGTTTGCGAATTTGTTTTATCCATGTTACAAGTTTTATTTTTTAAGTTGCTTCAGAATATTCTTTTAGCTATAGCTAACATTAAACATTTTAATCGAAGATTCCCAACAAGCTTTTTTACCTTTAACAAAAAAAAACGAAAAATATTGCTATTTACAATCATGAGATATTTTCAATTTTTGAATAATTCTGTTTTATAATTATGAAATTGTATTATTTGTACAAGTTTCCTATCATTGAAGTTAATTTCAAAAACTGTTTAATGTAAAAGCAGTTAACTTACCTGCACAATCTAAGAAGTAATAAAAAATTGTAAATTTAATAAATATTTTCAGAACTATATTAAATTTAATAAAATTTGTACCCAAACTAGAAACTGGTAGGTGAACCCATCTACTGTGGGTAGGATATGTTCACAGACCAATAAACTAATGGACACCGCATTTCGCAATAGGTAAAAATACCCGAGGTAAAAATAACCATGGAAAAAATACCCTGTAAAAAATACCCACTGGTAAAAATACCCGTGAAAATAATACCCCGTAGAAAAAATACCCATGGAAAAAATACCCGTGGAAACAATACCCAGTGGAAAAAATACCCCGTGGAAAAAATACCAGTGGAAATAATACCCATGAAAATAATACCCAGTGAAAAAAATATGCCATGGAAAAAATACCCGTGGAAATAACACCCATGAAAATAATACCCAGTGGAAAAAATACCCCGTGGAAAAAATACCCAATATAAATAATATCCAATATAAAATATACAAATAGACTGCTATATTATGTACTACTATATATTATGTTATACATAGCAACTTCGTAATCTCGTAATCGTATACACTTGGTATTTCCTAATTGCGTATCACGTATAAGTTATATTTTATCTGTATTGGACTATTTAGTTATATTTTGTGTTTGGTCTGTCAGTCAGTTCTTTACTTCTACCGTTTTCGTATATGCGATCTACAATCAGTGGTCAATTTTTGAATTTGTGGATATCAAAGGTAATTAAATTTAATATTAGATGTTAATGTTACATTTCAATATTCAAATATTTTAACTATAGATGAATGAAGAGCTGAAAATTATCAAATCAAACAAAAAAAACCAAAAACTATGCTACAATGGTTATATGTACGTTATTCATCACAAACTGAAATCTTGTCTTCGATGGCGATGCTCGAAATACGGATCCTTAAACTGCCGAGCAGTGTTAAAAACTGATCTCGAAAAAAAAAATCCAAAAACTGTTGTTGAACATATACACGCAATGGATAGCACAGAAGTAAATGTGACGATATGTGCGGGAGAAATGAAGGTAAGCCATTAATAAGTCATAGATTTTTTTTCATAACAATTATTATACTACATTATCTCGATAATTATAATTTAATGTATGATTAAAAACGGATATCAAAATATCGATATCAAAAATATCAAAAACCTATTATTAAAAAAAGGGGTCAAGTGGATGTGGCTCCACTGTACAGTAGGTTACAAGTGGGTCACTGTATAATTTATGGTATTAAATTTGAATTCAATGATATTATTGTGAGTTTTAAATTTTCAATCCTTAACAATAAAAGTTGAGCATTTTAAACATTTTTAACTACAAAATAATTTTAAATTTTAAATTTGATAAATTTTGTCAAAATTCGAACTTTAAATGCTTATAAAAAAAATGTGTGCCAATGTATTTTTAATATTTTTCAATAGCTATTGTAAAAATATATCGGGAGACTTGTATTAAATTTTCATGATTTTTAACCAAACAATTAAAAATTTATTGGTATTTATATAAAAAATAACTAAAAAAATTGAAATTTGAAATAGTCCGTAAAAATCTCAAAAAGAGTCAAAATATATTCAAAATTGTATGGTGTATAGAAAATGCTAGTATAAACATTCAGTGAAATTTTTAAGTATCTACAGTTAATTAAAACAAAATAAGAAAATAACATATTTTATAATACTTATATAAAAGGCAAAAGCGGCTACAAGTAGAGTAAATCCTTTACAATTGTACGCAGAAAGAATATTACAGTTGGATGACAATGCAAGAGCACGTTTGCCTTCTGAAGATACCGTAAAACGCACTCTTCGTAATCAACGGTCCAATAAATATCCAAAATGTCCTACGTCACTGGATGAATTAATAATTGAAGGTATTTAAGTTATATAAATGAAAATATTATGATTATATTATACTTTTATGCAACTCTGCTTTATAAGTCTCGCACATTTTTTATCTTAGGCAAATGGTGTACAACCGGAGAGCCTGACGGTCATCGATTCTTACTTCATGATACTGGTACTGATTCTGATGAAAGAATAATAATATTTTCCACTGATGCTTGTCTTCAACGTTTAACTGAAGTTGATACGTCATGGTATATGGATGGGAATTTCGCCCTCGAGCCTCCGCTTTTCCAACAGCTATACGTTATTAGAGGTAAAATCAACAAAGTATTTACAACTATGGTGTACTGTTTGTTGGAGTGGAAAACCAAATCTACTTATGAAAATGTGTTTAATATTATTCTAAATGAATGTGAAAAGCGTAATTTAAATCCCGAACCAATGAATATATACATCGATTTTGAAAAAGCCGTAATTGAAGCTGCCAAAAATATTTTTGGTGATCATATACAATCCATGGCTGTTTTTATCACCTATGTCAATCCACTCATCGTAAAATCCAAACACTAGGTTTAGAACGTTATTATAGAGAAAATGAAATATTTAATCAATTTTGTGGTATGTTAGATGGATTAGCATTTTTACTTATAGATGATGTTATTAAAGGTTTATAATTTTTAAAAAGTGTTATGCCCGATGAAGTAACAGACCTCGTAAAATATTTTGAAACCACTTACGTAAACGGTTGTCCCAAAATATTAGGTAAAAATAAAAGAATTAAAGTTAAAAACATTCCGGCTCCATTCCCTCCTTTGGTTTGGAATGTACATTTAACCACTTTAAATGATAATGATCTGACAAACAATCAAACTGAAGGATGGAACCATCGCTTTTCTAAACTTGTTAATCATGTGTTTGATCCATATGGCATTTAATTGAAAAAATGCACCTAGAAGTCGTTGTTGACAGCACGCATTTGTTACAAAGAGAATTAGGACAACCGCAAAAAAAAAAAAATAAAAACTTATGAAAATTTTCAAAATAAATTAAAAATATTGACTGCTGAATATCATAATGTTGATAGAACCATAAATAACTTTTTACATGCAATAAGTAATGTGATAAGACATTTAAAATTGCCATAAAATTATACTTAATTTTTAATTATTTCATATGAGTTGCAAAATATTAGTACGTTTTTCCAAATATATTATGATATTAATAAGTATTAACTCACATTCATTATTTTATAAAAGTTGCCGAATTATTTTAATTTTATTATTATGACAAATATTGTTTTATATACCTAACTGTATTAATTTTTTTTATAATGATATTAATAATTATGACCAATCATATATTATTTTATGAAAGTTTCCCAATTATTATTGTATTATTATGACAAATTTTATTTTATATACCTAACCGTATTAATTTTTTTTTTAAATGTGCTCAATATAATATCGAATATGAATGTTTGCATTTTTTCAATTTACCTATTAATATGTTTTTTATATCGGGTATTATTGCCAAGGGTATTTTTTCTTACGGATATTATTTCCTCGGGTATTTTTTCTTTTATGTATTATTTCCTTGGGTATTTCTTCTATCGGGTATTATTTCTTCGGGTATTTTTTTCTTTTAGGTATTATTTCTTCGGGTATTTTTTACCGGGCATTTTTTCCATGGGTATTTTTTCCTAGATTCTTCCGCTCCACTCTTCCATTAATGCTAAGGAATCATATAACTGAGAAAGGATTTAGAGGGAACATAAAGATAGTCAATAATGGAGGAAATACTTTAAGTTTTTTTCGATTTTATTTATCAAACATGAACATATTGTAACAGTACACCGTCATACATATAAAACGGTCCACCAATCAGGGCCCAGAACGGTAGCACAGCCCGGCGGAATGACTTTGCGCCCTCAGTACGAGGGTCCGGGGTTGTTCCACACTCTGGAAAACAAGGGATCCAAAGGTGAGAACAAGACCCATCGAACAAAACCATCCCCATACCTAGAGCCCCAAAACTGTGCGGACGCCACCACTTCCCGCACAGAACCTAAACACAACGACAGCGGCGGCAACACGGGAGTTTACTAGTCGGTACGGGGCCGGGTATATATACCGGACGTTTTCACCGCACCGAAATCAGTCTTCTCTCAACACACCAACCTTCAACATTTCAACACCAGAAGAATTGAAGACCCGAAGACCTGACGATCCACGAAGCCGCCATAAGTCGCCGACAACCAGCGGGATATCGTGAACGACGAACGCCGGCCACAAGTCGATCCAAGCCCGAATCATTCAAAACCGCAGCCCATCGTCGACCGCCACACGCAACCGGCAGGAGAGCCACGTCGAGGTAGACGGCATTTCAATACGCCCACGGCGTCGTACTCGGAGAACCAGCCGCACACACGCCTTCCCGACCGGCAAGTACCCGCCGCACGGAGTACCAGGAGCCAAGCAGTTGCCGCGTTGCGCCGGTATCCACCGTCGCCGTCGACTCCAACAGTCGGAGACTAAAACACCACCCATACGTCCCCTCCTACGGCCACTTGATCAAGTTGTGTCGAAACCCGGGTCTAGTATATCACAGTAGCCGCTTTTTACGAGTCACGCGCCGTGGTATACTGACCCCGTCCATACGGCGACTGTTATCGTCCGTTTCCCCCCCAAACATTCCCTTCATATTTGTAATTAGGGCCTAGCAATTGCTGGCCGTGCCGAGGTCTCACCGCGACGGTCCGTCTCCATAGACCAACCGTCACACCCGTGATCCTCGCTGCCCCCACATTGTACAAAATATATTTGTGTAAAAATACAGGATAAGATGTAATAACGAAAAACCCAAGCGTTATTATTTCGGACGCCGGTCCATTGTGACCGTGCCGTTTCAGTATAATATACATAAGATATAAATAGGTAATATGGTTGTTACCACAGACCTACAAGTTTGGTAAACACAAATCAGTTATTAAAATATAACAATTGGAAGATTTTATTGTAACACAGTTTTTAATTTGGCAGTAATTGCACTTCTGAGTATTAGCTACAAACTGCTATTGATTGGATTGTTCCGGTCGACCAGGTTGGGTTTAGACCGAATCGAAGTTGTACTGACCAGATAGCAGCCTTAACTTCGTTTGAGGAAAACGACTTCCAGAGAAATATGAAAACAACAGCTGTTTTGGTTGATTTATCAGCAGCCTACGATACTGTATGGCAAACGGGCCTATTGACAAAAATACTCCAACTGTTTCCATGCCTCACTCTATATAAATTATTGGAAGACATCGCGAAGCAATCGCATGTTTTCAGTTCATTTAGGAGAGATGCAAAGTAAATGACGTCGCCTAACCAACGGCTTACCCAAGGTGCTGTCCTTGCCGCGACACATTTTATCTGCCAGCTACAACTTCCCGTAAGTTCATCTATGCCGATGATATCACACTGGCTACTCAACACAATAAGTTTGAAGTTACCGAGGAAATATTAACAAATGATCTAACTAATATCAGATTATCTACATAAATGGCAAACACAGATAAAACTGTAGTTACTACATTCCACTTAAACAATCGATTTTCAAAATACAAGCCCCAAATTAAATTTGGTGGAAAAAGTCTTGAATACGATCCGACACCGAAATATCTAGGAGTGACGCTTGATAGACAGTTAACTTACAAACATCACATCGAAAATACTGCTGCTAAGCATAAACTCGAAACAACATTATTCATAAACTAGCTTGCTTATCCTAGCAATGCCCACCTTAAGAACGTCGGCCTTGGCGCTAGTTTGCTCTGCTGCAGAATATGCCTCCCCAGTATGGTTAAATAGTTCGCACTGTAGGAAGATCGATGTTCAACTTAATCATTCTATGCGTATTATCTCTGGTACTGTCAAATCGACTCCGACAGAATGGCTCCCAGTCCTCTGCAATATTCTACCGCCACACATCCGGCGTAAAAAGGCTGCATGCAGAGAATGGTCAAAATATTTATCAAATACATCCCTTCCATTACATCAAGACACGTTAAACCAGAATCTTAGGCTAAAATATAAAAAACCTACTTATCTAACTTAAGCCATACTCTTTGATAACCAGTACGACGGTATGGATGAAAACTAGAATGGCAGAATTCTACCATAAACAATATTATAGCCTAATTAAAAGCCTGGAAACTCTAGTTCCTGGACAACAATTAGCCCGTCACGAGTGGGTAACACTTAATCGCCTATGTACAGGATATGGTCACTCCGGAGAGATGCTACATAAATGGAAAATGAGAGATAGTCCAGGCTGTGACTTTGGCCACTCATTACAGTCCCATGTTATAAGTGATTGCCCTCCCTTTAACGGGACAGTGGAAGAACTCCACAACGCAACGACAACGCGATCAAATGGATAAGGACACTTGACATCCAACTTTAGACTACTTCATAAATTGATAACATGGAAAAGTTACCCATAGCATTAATTTTAAAGTTTAATATTGTTTTATTGTTTTATTGTTATGTGAATTATTTATATATATATATATATATATATATATCTGTATCTAGTTTATAATGCTTGCATATTATACCATACCATAATAATAATTTGGAAGTTAGTGTATTGGTCTATGGATATGTTAACATTGCCGAGAAGGTAATCGAAACTCAATCTTATCAGTAGTATAGATCATGAAAAGTATCCCGGACAATCACGTTTGTGACCTGGTTATCCCCTGTAGGAGAAGATTTATAAGTACATCGATAAGTTGAATTGATCTGAACAGTAAACCCCAGTTATTTGATATCACCATTGTTAATTAAATTCATAAACACTGGTTTAATATTGTATTGGTTATAATTAGGGCCCTGAAGTATATGCACTAAAAACTACCGAAATATGTATGCACTTATGCGCTTAAATATGCTTAAATATTTTTTGTAAAATTGTAAAATTAAGAAATATGCTCTAAAATTTAAAAAACCACTAAATATGCAAAAATATGCACTATAAAATTTTGATATGTTTTTCGTAGTGCCTTGGAATGCATTTCTAGCTCGCTTAGCAATAAATCTAATGGTTCAAAAAAAAACATGCAAATGGACGAACTTCCGGGCTCTAGTTATAACGTCTTATAAGCAACTGTGACTAACGCATCCCTCATCAACGGCTGTGATCCGTCAATTCAAAAAGTCGGAAAGTAAGTGAACCAAATGAACAAAATGATGAGAACTCTGAGGAACATCTCAATAAATCGTTGAAAATAATGAAAATTTTAATAACAAAGGTGTAGAGTCGTATGTGTAAAGTTTGGTGGGAATAAATGGTTTAATGGTCGTTGGTGGCCAAAAAGCGTACTTACGCTTATTTAGTAAAATAGGCAGATACCCCACGTCCATATCGGCTGGCGAGTTCTCTCAAGTGTAAGGGGACAATGTATACCGAATTATATGAATATTTGACAGCTATTGCTTACACAATCAATTTTAAATTTGTACTAATTGCATTAAATTTATTGTCCTAGCACAAATCGGTTACTTTTTTGTCCCATAGATTTTTTATCCATAGCTTTTTTATCCAAGGCTTTTTTGTCGGTGTCCGGTTACCATAATTTATTCTTAGGTCGGTGTAAAATAAAGTACATACCTACGCTAGCGTTGTATAAAAAAAAATAACGTTTAGCCTAACTACTGGTTTCAATAAAAATTAAATTATCTTTTTAATTTTTGTTATTGATGCATATTAACTTAACTTACAAATAATAATTTTTCCTATCCTTGCTTATAAGACATTATGTCCTATCCATGTCTTTTGTATCTATGGAAGCATCTTATAATATTATTCTTACCCATTCTGTCCAAAATTTTTGATTCGCCTGAATTAAATTAAATTATTTCATAATCTAACCTTCCTAATCACACCACACACCCACCTTTGAATTCTTATATTTGCTACAGTCAACTTCTATTCAGTTGTATAGTTCGCTGTCTATATCCAAATCTATACAATACGACTGGCATCATAATTCATAACTGCTTTATATTTTGACTTTTAAACTCAACGACATCTTCTTGTCACACAAAAAATTCACGCTTCTCTCCACTTCAATCACGTACAAATAATCCTATTTCGGACGTCTTAATAAAAACCACCATTCTTCTGTACCAGCTATCCTAAGTACTTGGACCTATTCAGCTCATACACTACGTCATTCCCAATCGTCATTACATGGCTTATTTATTGATTACATTTGCCAAAATCATACACAATGCAATAGTTGCTTTTGATTTATTTATATCCATTATTTGAAATATCACATTCACAGTTTTCGTGCTTTTTCTTTTTACACAACATTGTCAGAAAATATCATGCACTTATCCCTTATTTGTATATTTCATAATCTTGTCAATAACTAAGAATAACAAATAGGGGCTCAATACTAAACCTAGGTGCACACTTATTATAAGCTACTTAGATAAAATAGTAAACCCATACAATTATAAGCTTACCCTTAACATCTGTAATAAACGTAATTATAATTGATTAGAGTTATGAATCATAAACAATTAGTATAGGATTAAACTAATAATGTTTATAGGTTAATAAATAATGTCCATATCATATGAAATATTGATTTTACACTAATTTTATTTATAACAATTTCAACAAACATGAATTTGTTCCTAATAAAACTAAAAGTAACCAAAAAAATTCTATTTATCTATGCATAATAATTCACTTTTTAAAGAGATTAAATTATTGTCTTTAGTATATTTTGGTTAGGTTAGGTTAGGTTAAAATGAAAAAACAGATGTAAAATCGAATAAGATTAACACTGTAAATACACTATATTATACTATAGTACGAGTAAATAGTAATATAATAAAGGATATACAATATACTATTTTGTATTATATAACAATCTGAAAATATATCACGAGGACGACGTAGGTACTAGGTACATGTTGTTTCATTCAACAATCATATATTTTAAAACGTTTATTAACCTTATTTATTTTTTTGTAATGTGGTGATGTCTGACGTCTGTTTATAATATTATATACCGAGAATTACTTATAACTATATGGGTTTATAATATTAAAAATGTGTAGAATTAGTGGACTTACCTGGATGGTCTATAAATGGATACGCATAAACAGGTATATTATTATATATATTAGTACATTTTGGCATAATATAACAATAAGTACGTTTAAGAATAATTGATGGAAATATTTCGTTTTGGAATAGACGTCATAAACATAAAAAAGGGTGTTAAGTAAAACAGAAAATTTAAAAAATATTGTGTTGTACGAATACTTAAAACACAGAAAATCGTGAACTTCGTAAGGTATCAACTTAAAAACTAATGATTTTTTTTTAAAAAAAAGAAATTGAAAAATTCGAGAGGGCATTAAACTAGATTTGTTACTGATAAATTATTATAATTATATGTACAATTAAAGTGCGTTCATAGCAACTCAGACTAGACGCTAACGTGGTTTTGTCTCAAACCAGCGGATTTCAAACTAGGATAGAAAATTGTGTAGCCCGTTTTTTCGCACGTTTTATAACAAATGGTAAGATAAGTTGGAATGATTCATTGATTATCTTGTTTCATAGATGTGTACATTTAAAAAGTGTAAAATATTTTACATAATATTAGTTATCAATTTTTAATTTTCCGCGCATTGTTACACACTTACACGCTAGTTTTAGAAGTCCTAATGAAAAAACACCACGAAGCGCGTTAGGCTTGAGTCGCAGTTGCTATGAAACGCACTATAGTAGGTACATATTATACTATATTTGTAAAGTTTTCATGGGGGGGAGTTTAATCCCTCCTTGAGCATGCGCATGTTCCTCATTATATTTTAAAAAAACTGTATTAAAATATCACCTAATTCCAATTCAATCGAACTGCAAGGAACTGGAAATTTACAAATTTAAATATTTAATTTACGGATGTACAATGACTAATGTTATAAATTTGATAAATATTAAATAGGCAATCATAAAAATAATAGAAACCAATATTAATTTACATTCTTAAAAAATAAAATTCAGTTATTGAATTAAAAACTATATTTTTAAAATGCATATTGATAGTAAGATACCTACTATAAATCACTACTCACAATGACTAATAATAAAATTATTTATTAAAAAAATTTTTTTTTGAACAACTTATGACAGAATGTTTCATATTTCGTGTTTTAATATCACAATGAAATTTTCAAAAGTTTATAGATATTTTTGTCACCACTTATCGGTTAGTAGAAGTTATTTCAATACAAACATATTTGTCCATAATTGCCTATTTTATTTTTTTATAGTTAATACTAGATTCTGGCGTTTGTCATCCCGCCTGCGGCGGAAAGACTGTGTTGGCGGTGGTGCATCTTTGTCGGCGATGCTGGGTTTTTTGATCCGGCCTGCGGCGGGATTGGGGGGTCGTCGGGTATTGTGTTTTGTAGTGTTGGCACCACTGGTTAAGCGGTAATTTTTGAACTCGGAAGAGTGTCTAGTCGTAACTCGTAAGTCACTCGATTTAAGTCGATCGTACAACACAACCAGCCAGGTAGGCAATCCGACTACGTCGGATCGCAGACCATGCCCCGGGCGTGTATGTCTGGTTCTCGTATGTGTGTTGAAATCGGAAATGTTGAAATCGAAAATTCGGGTTCTCTGAGTTTGAGTGTCTAGCTATCAGTCATCTCGGGTGAAAGTCGATTCCCGAGTGTCATATGCAGTGGGGGTGTAAGTCGCTCGTATGCAAGTAGCTAGTCAGGTAGGCAATCCGACTACGTCGGATCGCAGACCATGCACCGGGTGTGTATGTCCGGTTCTTGTATGTGTGTTGAAATCGGAAATTCAGGTTCTGAGTTTGAGTGTCTAGCTATCAGTCATCTCGGGTGGAAGTCGATTCCCGAGTTTCAGGTGCAGTGGGGGTGTAAGTCGCTCGTATGCAAGTAGCTAGTCAGGTAGGCAATCCGACTACGTCGGATCGCAGACCATGCACCGGGTGTGTATGTCCGGTTCTTGTATGTGTGTTGAAATCGGAAATTCAGGTTCTGAGTTTGAGTGTCTAGCTATCAGTCATCTCGGGTGGAAGTCGATTCCCGAGTTTCAGGTGCAGTGGGGGTGTAAGTCGCTCGTATGCAAGTAGCTAGTCAGGTAGGCAATCCGACTACGTCGGATCGCAGACCATGCACCGGGCGTGTATGTCCGGTTCTCGTATGTGTGTTGAAATCGGAAATTCGGGTTCTGAGTTTGAGTGTCTAGCTATCGCCTATCAGTCATCTCGGGTGAAAGTCGATTCCCGAACGGACAATCCGCCTACAGCGAAAAGTGCTCGAAACGGCCGTTCAAATCTGATATACCTACCATATATATTTATTTAATTATGAGAAT